AAGTTCTTAGCAATGCATATTACTAATCAAAAATTAAGTTTTGATATATTTACGGTAGGAAATGCACAAAATATTTTCATGGAACATGATCTTTACTTAATATACTAATGATTTTTGGCATAAATTTTTTTTATAATTTTGACCCATACAATGTATTGTTGGCTATTGCTACAAATATACCCCAGCGACTTAACACTGCTTTTGTGCTCCAGGGACACATATATACTATCTACTTCACCTCATCAGAGTTCTTCATCTTCTCTTCATCCTGTTCATCGTGGTCATCATGTTCTTCACGCTCATCTGGAGCAGTTAGACACAAAATACTGTTATTTTCAAAGGGTTTTTTTTTCCCGGTCCGTTGAATCATCTTCACAAACTCAGCAACCACCAAAAAATTTTATATTTTGAAATTTTAAAAATCTTAGCTTCATTCCAATGAAGATGACACTTGGTGACTTTTGTCACATTAGCAATATGAACACACACAAAAATCACGGACATGATTTGGATATGTTAAAGGATTAAAAAAAAAGTCTCACTTGATTTCTTCAAGGTCAAAATGAATGGGAAATACGAAAAAAATAATTTTTTTCATTTTTTGTTCTGAAGTATGATTAACATTTATTGAATTACATTGAATAAAATATCAATTAATGTTTGTATAAAGTGTTTTGAATTATCACTATCCATTCCTTATTTTGTTAGATTTTTAATTATCAAATAACGAGTAACAAAAATGCTTTCTATGTGTTCTCTTTCTAACAAGATTTTAATGTTTGACTGCAATCATAATGTAAAACCTGATACTTATCTAACCATAAATATCTAAACCTTGACAAAAAGTAGTCTTTTAGAATGTCTAGATATATATCTAAGAAATTATGTCTAAAAAACAACAGGAATCCAAAAGCCTCTGTATATACTGTATCTATATAGGGTGCTAATACAAGAGGTTACGCAACATTACACAAGTTTTTATTTTTTAGTGCCTCCAGATGGACCAATTCTCACTTAAAAAAAAAAAAAGGATTTTAAATGCCTTCACTCTATTTTAATGTGAAATAGCCAGAAACAGTCCACTGACACTGAAGACTAGTTTGAGGACTGGTTAGTAGATGAACTGACCGGCTGCATGCGGCGGGTCGCTGGCCTCTGGGTTAGCTGGAGCGGGTTGGTTTGGATCGGCGGGTTGGTTGGACTCAGAATCGTCCGCAGGTGTGTTTGTTTGTTCGTGACCAGATGCTTTCTTGGCTTGTTCTGGTTTGCTGGCAGGTGCGCTGCTTTTCTTATTCTTGATCAGTATTTTACCCATCAGCTCAGACGGACTCGGCACCGGATGACCCGGCTTCAGCTAAAAACACACCAGAGAAGATCAGATCAGATATTAAGTCGAATTACTACTAACAGTTCATTGGTAACACTTTACAATAAGGTCCCATTAATTAATGTTCGTTAATGCATTAACAGCAATATTTTGAGCAAAACTTTGTTACAGTATTTATTAATCTTTGTTTACATTAGTGCTGTCAAACGATTAATCGCAATTAATCGCATCCAAAATATAGCTCAGGTCTGTTAAAAGACATAAAATACAACTTTTGCTTTTAATTATGTTTTAGTAAATGTTCAAATTAACAATAACTAAGATTAGTGAATGCTTTAGAAGTATCATTCATTGTTAACTAATATAGATGAGTAATGTTAACAAACTGAACCTCACTGTAAAGTGTTACTGTTTTATTTTATTTTATTTTATTTTATTTTATTTTATTTTATTTTATTTATTTGTAATTTTCTCTAGTTATTTTAAATGCTTTATAAATATTTGTATTATTAGTTCATATTAAATAATATAGTTAACAAATAGATCTTTATTGTAAATTGTTAATTTTAGTTCATGTAACTATTTTATTTATCATTTCTAATCACATTTTCATCGCCTCTAGTCCATTTGAAATGCTTTAGAGGTTTCTCTTTTTTTTTTTTTTTTTAGAAGTTTTTTTTT